AGCGTGACCTGCATGTAAGGCTGTTGGACGTGAACGACAACATCCCCAAACTGATGGAGACCCAGGCCTTCATCTGCATGAAGAATCCCAAACCTGTTCTCATAAAGGCCGAAGACTCAGACAGCGACCCTTTCTCCCAGCCGTTCACTTTCAGCTTTGGCACCAAAACCGGGAAATCTCCCAACTGGGAGCTGAACCAAGTTGACGGTATGCTAACATCTGTAATGTAACACGAAAAACATCAAACTAAGATGTAAAGACGCACGTTTCTGTGTTCAGCTTAGAACATATTATGTGTTTTTTCTTTGTGTGTCACACAGATACAACAGCTGAACTGAAACTGAAAAAAACACCAACTCAAGATAAAACCTTCTCACTTCCCATTACCGTTAAAGACAAAGCAGGTGTGGGAGTCCCACAAGCATTTGAGGGTGAGTCACATTTGTAAGCCTTACTTCTGGCAATATTCTACAGTCGCAGCAAGAAAGGCACCCCTTCTAAGGTTTTACACACCAGGACATAATAAAAAAAAATGTAGTTCTTATAAGGTTTAAAAAAAAAATCAGGAAAATCCAAAATCACACGACATGTTCATTAATTATTCAACAAAATCTACACCAAAATGCAGAAAAAGTGTGTGAAAAACTAAGTTCACCCTTTGATTTAACACGCTGTAAAAGAGTTTTTAGCACCAATAACTTCATGTCGTTGTGGAGGGATTTCATCCACTCTTCTTTACAAAGTTGCTTCAGTTTATTAAGGTTTGCAGGAATATGTTCAAGCACAGCTCTCTTAACCCTGTAAATGCTGAAACGTGAAATAAATTAGTTGTGGTTTGTTCAGATGCAACTTTGCAAGCCTGATCTGTGCTGCCATGTTCTTTGTAGAAAGAAGAGACTTTCTCCTGAAAGCCCTTCCAAACAAGCCACACTTCTTTTACTTTTACATTAAACATGCTAAATAAGACCTGTATAGTCTTTTTTTTTTTTTTTATTTCCTGATTTCTAAAATCTTAATTTAGAGTTTAATCTGGGTGTTCTTTCTTTTCACCATAACTGATTATCTGCATCAGTGCCCAGTTTAGTGCTGTGTCCAGTAAATCACCCAGTTCATCATAGGCTGCTGATAGAAAGCTAAAAGTTAGGAACAAAATAAGGAAAAGTTGATGATATTTTAGTGTATCAGCTGGCCCATCATACTGTACTTTACATTTTGTCTCCTTCACAGTGAAAGTATGTAACTGCACAGAGCTGGGCTACTGCTACATTGCACCAGAAGGAGCGGCGCTCAGTTATGGAATGGGACCCACCATTGGGATCCTGGCTGGCATTCTGGGATTCTGCGGTAATTCTAACAAACCCCAAAATAAATCTGTTATCTGATGAAACCAAGTTTCACACAAACCGTTAGACTGTCCAACAGTGTCAGTGTGAAGTTTTGTGTTCAATTCAATTCAATTTTATTTATATTGTTCCAGTGACTGACTTCTGTTTTATATCTCCTCCTTTCGCAGTTATCGCGTTTGTTGTAGTCATCAAACGCGTCAACAAAAAGAGCCAAAGAAAAGCCCAGGCCGAAGAGGACGAGAAGAATGCCATGATGTAGACACGACGCAGATGGTTTCCGAGTCTCTTATTTATATGTGCCAGTAACACAAATCAGAAATTAGCCTCCAAGGGATCAACAGTGTGTACAATGTTTGAGTTAGGAGGAAAATTCTCCAACCAGAGCCTTAAACCAGTCTTCCTGCTCGGTCCTTATCTTAATTATAACTTAGATTCTTAAAACCAGACTAGACTACACACACAACTTGGGATTATTTAGATTTAAATTCTCACCTGCCTATTAAATAAGATAGGACAGGTACACTGACCCATAAAATAACTGTGGTAAAATACTCCAGGCCTGAAACTCAAATGAGTCCTCGCACATCTACTTTAGCTTATTTTATTATATTTACAACATGAACATTATTAACAAATGCTGTGCATCCCTTAATTAATCTGTTAGGTGGTCCCATGCTAATCACTCATTTGTTGAATAAATATATTATGATTTCACTGCCAGACTCTGGCCGGTTCATTAGCTATTTCATCATCTAATTTAATTATATATGTTTTTTGGGCCAGACACTTTGTGTGTTACTCTCTTCTCTACCTTGACTGTAACAGCTAACCATTAAATGTTGTTTAACATCAAACTCAAACTGATCACTTGTGTCACGAACAACTTTGTTTGTTTTGTAAAGTTCGTTTACTGCTCTGTTTCTCAATAAACGACAAAAACTGGGGACCACTTTGGTTTTCACGCCATCGTTTTTTTCCCCCTACACATCAGGGCAGACATGTGGTGCAGCAGGTGATGGGTGACGTAAGGAACAGTATGTGTGCTATACAGTATCTCTGTCCTGTGGAAGCCCGGGGTTGGGATTGCTCTGCTTGTACTGTTGCGTCCCCCATCCTCCTTCCTGCTCATCTGTCGCTGAGCAGTCAAGGCCACGATGCTGCCTCAGAGAGCGATGCTCTGACTCATCTCTTTGTCAGTGGGAGACGCAGATTGTTGACGGTGCTGAAAGGGGCATGGCATGATTTCTTTTTTAGCTTTTATGCAACACAAAGAGGTCCAAACAAGCACAATGCTTACATGTGACAGCTGAAGGTGGGGATCACATGTGCTGCCATGAATATTGTATCCCTCCAATCCATGTGACATGTTTTTGTGTGTGTGAGTCATCAAACAGCCTGTTGCAGATACTAAAATCCAAACGGGGGAGTGGGCTGAGCTTCATCTTTCATGCTGATGAGGATGAACTTAGCGTGGACCCTTTTCAGTGTTTATGTCTGCACTCTCTCCTTGCTGGTATCCCAGCAACACTTTCCACAACATACACACACATGGCTCACACACAAACACACACACTCATACAGAGCTGGGGGGAGAAGTTCAAATGTTGAGGTACAGAGGAGACGAGGTAGAGGGGCAGACAGTTGGACCTAACGGTGTGAATGATGATGACCACCTCTGGATATCAAGCCTCACCATCAGCACACATCCACCCACACACACATGTTAAAGTCCCTACTCTACAAGAGGAGCCTTTTCCCCTAATATAGAAGAATTATATTGATGTGTTCCCACTTAAATCAGCTTATTTGTACTGCACATTTATTCCATAAGCCTAAATCAAACATAAAATCAACTTTAGTATGATGCCAGCTGTCTAATAAATCAACTATATGTGTATAAAAACATTCAAAGTACCGCAAAGTATGAATATCTGCTGCCAACGAAGTTAATAAAAATGTATGTGTGGGTATTCCATACATACATAAGTGCAAGTTTCTCCTTTATTTCTTTACAAGTCCCGAACAGAAGTTCACCTGCTTCCTGCTTCAAAATTTCATTCATTTCTAATCTAGCTCCATGACAACAAATACATAAAGCTTATAAGTGAAGCTGTTGCCGCTCTTAGTGCTGGATAGGATTGATTTAATTGCTTGCCTCTGTTGTAATACTGCACTCTGGTGAGTCAGTTTTATTATGAAGGGTGATTTGCATTATAATTTCCATAAAACAAAGGCACTCACTCATCATTTACACACTAATCTGGAAATAACGTCCTTGGAGCAGCGGAAGCAACGTGTGTGATGACCAAAATACGCAGAGGTGTTTATTTCCAGTAAAGTGACTAATGTCACTCGAGTGCACACGAGTTCTTCCAGACACCCACTGAGTGTGAGCGCAACAATGATATAAAATGATTATACAGTAAGGCATTCATCTCTCATTGACTCTTTGTGACATAGCAATTCAGTTGAAACACCAGTTCACAACAACAGCCTCCTCAAAGTCCTTTATATTGAAAGGTAAAGACAGAAAGCCCAACAATCAGATGACTCCCTGTGAGTAAGCACTTGGTGACAGTGGGAAGGAAAAACTCCCTTTTAACAGGAAGAAACCTCTCTGGCGGAACCTGGGGGTGAGAGCAACAGCAGCTCCTGGACAATTTTACATCAGCGTTTGATGACACAAGACATGCTGCAATGTCCACGACCCAGTCACACAGCGTGTTGTACCCTGGAGGCCGGGTCATTATCATTCCGAGTCTTAAAAACGCTCAAATCTTTTTATGGTGCATCCAGTGTAGTAACAACTTTACAAGGCTGCTATGTTAGCTTGTGCTTGTGTGTTCAAGGATCTTTTAAAGAATTAACTAAAAGCAAGTAAAATGCAGATTTATACAAATAAAGATTTTATAAAAATCATTACTACAATCCTTTTTTAATATGTTGATCTTCTCAATGTGAAAGGAGTGGGGAAAAAAATCAGAAGAAAGATTAAAATTTTGATTTATTTTAAACACTTTAGCATCTGAATGCTGTATTGCTCACCGGTCACTTCATCAGGTACAGCTTGGTAATACCAGATTGAAGCTTCTTTTGCTTCGGAGCAGCTTTAATTATTCATGGCATTCAGAAATACTGAACTAAAATACTCAAACCAGCCCGTCAGGAACCAACAACTTTGCTGGGTTCATAAAGAGTTCAAATCATTCAGTTGCTCCGTTTCAACTACAGCAGAGCACCCTGATCGTGTCTACATGCCTAAATGCAATGAAGTTGCTGATTCATGATCAGCTGATTAAATATTTGCATTAACGAGCAGTTAAACTGGTGTATCTACTGAAGCTGGCCCGAGTGTATCTGTTAACTTATAGGACACAGCTGTAGCACAAATCTCCGACGACAGCGTAGCGACAGGTTTGTGTTGTAGTTTAACCTCCTCTGGCCTCTTTGGTGCTGCAGCACCACCTAGTGACAGCAAACACAGTAAAGCTCCCACTGTTCCACATGTAACATTTAACCTACCTGTGTGTATAGTGACGACACACCTGAGGCACACTGACCTTGCAGGTGTTTGAAGGTCAGAACCTTCCTGGCTGAAGCACTATTCTGGTGGCCTTCTTTGTATAACCCAAAACAAACCGAACAGTACCAGGATTTCTGTATTTGGCGTTTTATTAAAGCATTCCATATACAAAACTCAACACACATAAGTTAAAATTTATACATACAACAGAAATGATGTGTCACATACTCCAAAAGCTGAATAAATAATATTTACTATTCAAACAGCTTCTTTCAAATGTACATTCTGCTTATTCAACAACCACAACCCTGATTTCTAAGTAACAGGAGGGGTTGGTTTGCTGCTTTGATTCTTATTAATCACATGAATGATAAACTTCCAATCTGTAACAACCTGTTACACTATAAATGACCTGTCATATATATATATATATATATATATATATATATATGGTTTTTAACCCTTCAATATTTGGAAAAGAAACTAAAGGTCAAAAAAGAAAAACGAACAAGGTCAGTGTGTGCATTAAGGTGCTCATTAACAGGAAGTCTGACTTTGATCCTCTAGTATCAGGGATACAAAGCAGCGTTACATATGGAGAATAACTCAATCTGTTAGCAGACGGGTAAATATCAGTGCACTCATACACGTGCAGCTCAGATCTTCATTGAGGTGCTTTTGTCATTGCTCTGTGTGAAAGTACACTGGATTCAAAGTGAAAACGATCACTTATGTCACCAGTTCCTGACGTCTCCAGTTTGTGACCTTAAGGATGAAAAAACGTCTCTTCTTCCCAAGTTAAGCCTTTAATGCGAGCAGCGAGCACTCAAACCACAACTCCTCCCTCCCTAGTTCCTCTGTGTAACAGAATGACTTCTCTCTAACTTAAACTGTGAGCCCTCAACTTTATTTTGAGCCGTATGAGTTTAAGAGTTGGCTTGTAGCCTACATTCTAGAGTATTTACCTCCACATTGGATGTGGACATCAATGTGAACACCTTAACACTCTGAAATCAGTGGAGTAGATCTCACTGTAAATGCAGAACAAAGCATCTGTGTTTAGATTCACTAAGAACATCTCATACAATGTCACAGGGTAAAAACAAATCGATGAATCAGCCAAGGTCGTAACAACAGTCCCTCAGAAACAAACTACAAAGAGAATATGACTGCATCCTGCTTGTAGCCGAAAACGAGAGCACGCTGCAGTCGGGGCACAGCCTATTTAAAATCCATAATAGAACAACAGGTGGAGTCAGCCCTGTTGCTAAAAACCTCTTTTCTTTTTAAGCCACTCCCACGTCCTTTACCCTTTTTGGAAGTTTCTAGATTTTCAGTTTGTAACAGTGTCTTATTAAAAGAGAAGTGTACATGAAAATGGCAACGAGCGGCAGCATAAATAACATGTTATAAGAAACGTCATCCAGTTTTTAGCTGACATCTTCATAAGAAACCGCAGCACTGCATACAAACAAATACACTCTTTATATAGTGTTAAAACAATCATATTTAACGGTGGACAGATACTGAATATGGCCGGTTTGTCCTCGGTGTGCTTAGATACAGATCTGCTGTGTGTGTGTGTGTGATCAGAGTTACATGGCTAATGAGCAGCTCATGACTGGCCTTCCTGTCTCTGTGCTCCAATCACATGAGGGTTAAACTGCGTGATGATGATGGTGATGTCATCGCGGTACATGCGAGCCAGCTCCTCGGGCAGTGACAGCATCTTTGACAGCCTCTCGTGGTCCACTGTGCCAAACTCGTTGTTTCCCACCGCGTGGCGCATCAGGTGGGTGGCGGCGTTCTGATCTTCGAATGCTGAGGACGCACGAGCCTTTCGCTCCTCGAGCAGCCCCTGCATTTGTCCCAAGGTCACCCTGTATCCTCCGACTTTGAGCGGCTGATGCTGGTGGACCCCAGTCAAATACTCCCCGACGATACGAATCACTTCCTGCCTGTGGAGGGTCTCCCAAAGGCCATCAGAGCCAATCACCTGCCGAGAGTCATATAATTGTATATATAATCTACCGAAAGAAATCATTAAAAGACCAAAATCACAATGAGATTCATGCCCATGATGAATGTATTTACACTTAAAACCACAACTGTAAGTCAGGAAACATTCAAGTGTAGTAACTGAAGCCGGCATGGGAGCTGTAGCTAACATTATTCATTCAGTTGGGAAAATACTGGCACTGGGAATAAGTCATCTAAACCTAATTATTTCTTCATAAATACAGCCTTTGTTTGAAAAGGTCACACAGCATGCATTAGCTAGATAATTCCTCAAAAGAAGAGCTTTCTTAGAAGCCCTGATATTTTCTTTTTAATTAAATAAATAGCACAGCCCACTCTCCTTTTACATGCAATGAAAAAAAAGGTACATCTGGAGGATGGATGCCTACTTTGAGGAGAACAATGGTACAAACATCAGGATTCAGAGCGCATTATTCAGTTCTCAGAGTTAATTAGATGTGACTCATAAAATCTGACATTATTCAGCCTATTGACAAAAAAAATTAGACCCCAAATCCATAATGTGTTTAATTTTATAAATAGAATAAATGTCCAGGTTTCAGCTCTTTGGATCAGTTCCTACGTCTCGGATTTATGCGGGGCTTTAAATCAACTAATGCTGGGCCCTTTAACCAGTGAAGAATGAGAGCTTTATTAAGAATGGGGATGACGTTGCATTGATCATCATGACTGTAGACATACAAGTTTTCAAAATGTCAAAGGGCAGCATATTTTTGGGACAGATGTGGAAAAACGATAAGACTGCCAGGAAATAAATGTCCTGATGTAAAACACATTGTATGTATTTTGTATGACGCAGCAGTGGGGGTTAGGTTAACTGACAGGCCGGGAACCTGTCCAGGGTTTACCCTGCATCTGTGACAGCCGGCATAGGCTCCAGCTCCTGAACTGGATAAGCAAAAGAGAATGGATGGATGGGTGACAACAC